AATTTAAAAGAGATGTTACAAACGAGACCAGGGGATGTAGGGTACAGAGCAATCTTTAGGTTTTTAGAGGGCACCAGACTGAGTAAAGTAATATAGCATAAATTGTGTGAGATTATTTATTATAGTAGCAGAAAGGGTCAGTTCTGATCCACACTCCAGTCTAGAAGGTGTCAGTAATGTGCCTAAAGTTGTCTGCCAACAACCATTAAACAACAGAAGAAGAAAATGTTGCGTTAAGCCTTAAAACTCTTTGCTTAAATGAAACAATAAACCTGTAACATTGCCACGGATTCAGTTAGCTGTGCTGTGCCCTTCAGCATGTCTAGGCTACATTTCAGTAAAGTAAGTAACACTGTGCCAAATCTGCTATTAGCTGTTTGCCACGTACCATTGGCTGTACTGCCAGCTGTTGATGCATCGCTTTGCTACTCAGACAAATACTGGCCTTATGAGGACCATCTTTTTCTATTATTTCTAAGCAGGGTTGTGGACGTTTATTTGCTGTGGACATATCTGAGATCACGATGTCCTCAGAATGTGTAAGCAACACAAAATGTTTGTTTTTTTTAACCACACTGTGGCGTCGGGCACCAAGAGGTTTTAAGTTGCCTGCCTTAATTCCCTCCAGTGTTATTTGTGTTGATAAGGAGCCCAACAACCAACTTTCCAGTGTTTTTACAGCAGCTACAGTACATTACGTCTATAAAATAAGGCTCTGATATGTGAAAGGAGGTGATCACTGATGCTGTTTTTTTTTTTGTGTTGGATATTAATATTTGATAACCGGTTACCACAAACAATTAGCTTAATCAGCTGGTTTAGTTTGGAGACCAGTTTAAAGGTTTTGATACAGTATGTGATTAAATGTAACTAGCAGAATTATATAAAACATGGGTAGCGCTCAGCAGCTTTCATTTTTTCAGAGTAGCTCTCTGAGTAAAAAAGGTTGGATACCCCTGTTGTAAGAACATATGATGCCTCCTGATGTGCAACTTCACTATTTGACCTATAGCCACACACTGGGGACTAGTTTATTTACAGTGCCTTGCGAAAGTATTCGGCCCCCTTGAACTTTGTGACCTTTTGCCACATTTCAGGCTTCAAACATAAAGATATAAAACTGTAATTTTTTGTGAAGAATCAACAAGTGGGACACAATCATGAAGTGGAATGAAATTTATTGGATATTTCAAACTTTTTTAACAAATAAAAAACTGAAAAATTGGGCGTGCAAAATTATTCAGCCCCCTTAAGTTAATACTTTGTAGCGCCACCTTTTGCTGCGATTACAGCTGTAAGTCGCTTGGGGTATGTCTATCAGTTTTGCACATCGAGAGACTGAAATTTTTGCCCATTCCTCCTTGCAAAACAGCTCGAGCTCAGTGAGGTTGGATGGAGAGCGTTTGTGAACAGCAGTTTTCAGTTCTTTCCACAGATTCTCGATTGGATTCAGGTCTGGACTTTGACTTGGCCATTCTAACACCTGGATATGTTTATTTGTGAACCATTCCATTGTAGATTTTGCTTTATGTTTTGGATCATTGTCTTGTTGGAAGACAAATCTCCGTCCCAGTCTCAGGTCTTTTGCAGACTCCATCAGGTTTCCTTCCAGAATGGTCCTGTATTTGGCTCCATCCATCTTCCCATCAATTTTGACCATCTTCCCTGTCCCTGCTGAAGAAAAGCAGGCCCAAACCATGATGCTGCCACCACCATGTTTGACAGTGGGGATGGTGTGTTCAGGGTGATGAGCTGTGTTGCTTTTACGCCAAACATAATGTTTTGCATTGTTGCCAAAAAGTTCGATTTTGGTTTCATCTGACCAGAGCACCTTCTTCCACATGTTTGGTGTGTCTCCCAGGTGGCTTGTGGCAAACTTTAAATGACACTTTTTATGGATATCTTTAAGAAATGGCTTTCTTCTTGCCACTCTTCCATAAGGGCCAGATTTGTGCAGTATACGACTGATTGTTGTCCTATGGACAGAGTCTCCCACCTCAGCTGTAGATCTCTGCAGTTAATCCCGAGTGATCATGGGCCTCTTGGCTGCATCTCTGCTCAGTCTTCTCCTTGTATGAGCTGAAAGTTTAGAGGGACGGTCAGGTCTTGGTAGATTTGCAGTGGTCTGATACTCCTTCCATTTCAATCTTATCGCTTGCACAGTGCTCCTTGGGATGTTTAAAGCTTGGGAAATCTTTTTGTATCCAAATCCGGCTTTAAACTTCTGCACAACAGTATCTCGGACCTGCCTGGTGTGTTCTTTGTTCTTCATGATGCTCTCTGCGCTTTAAATGGACCTCTGAGACTATCACAGTGCAGGTGCATTTATATGGAGACTTGATTACACACAGGTGGATTCTGTTTATCATCATTAGTCATTTAGGTCAACACTGGATCATTCAGAGATCCTCACTGAACTTCTTTAGAGAGTTTGCTGCACTGAAAGTAAAGGGGCTGAATAATTTTGCACGCCCAATTTTTCAGTTTTTTATTTGTTAAAAAAGTTTGAAATATCCAATAAATTTCGTTCCACTTCATGATTGTGTCCCACTTGTTGTTGATTCTTCACAAAAAATTACAGTTTTATATCTTTATGTTTGAAGCCTGAAATGTGGCAAAAGGTTGCAAAGTTCAAGGGGGCCGAATACTTTCGCAAGGCACTGTAAATAGAGACACTACTTTGAATTAATTCGACTACTACTACAAATTACAGTGGCATAAGACCAAATAATTTCCCAACAAATTGAATGTAATATCAGGTAACACTAGATATTCCTTGTGTCATTTTATTAGTGAGAAAATGAATTGCTTCAACAATCAAAACGATGAGTTTATTAAAACACTCCCAATGCAACTCTTTCTCACTTTGAGGTTTCATGTTTTAATAAACCGGTATATAAATAATTTACTTCTTATAAGCATTTGTGTGCACTTCATATATGACCCACTGCTACTGCAACACTAAAGAAAAACTAGCATCATACCAACAAAGAATAAAAAATGCTAATAAAATGTAACAACACATCACCTCTGCATCACTTGTCTGTGGTCTGCGTGCCTCTGCAACCTGTTTCCTGGTTCATCATATGACAATCACATGACACTCAGCTTACCAGGAAGAAATGCATGTTGCGGCTCAGGGGAAAAGCCAGGAAGACAGTTGTATTAATGATTGTTTAGCTCAGCTGTGTGCAGCTGAAGTTTCAGCAAAACAGGTAGGAGATCACCATTTTCAGTTTTTTCATCACAGTTTTTCATTAATGTTAAGAAAAGATCTTGAACACACATTTGTTACAGTATACTGGTGTGTATGTGTGTGTTTACATAGACAGCGAGGTAGACAGGTTCTCAGCTGCTCCAGTTTGCTTTTACTCATACAGCTACTTCAGTAACAAATATTCTCTGGCCAAGATTCATGTAATATAAGGTCACAAAACATCCATAATGGTAGTAGTGGTGGGGGCATCCTCATTAAACTGTATGCCTATCTGGTTTTGTATTTCACTATGTGAATGCTTCTGTTTATCTCAGAAAAAAGCTTAAAGGAGCAATAGTACATTAATGGAAGATAATATCAAATAGCATATACCTTCACTTTAAATAGTCCACAACCATTTAAATAATAGGCTCTATGGAAGAAAGGACACAGCATCCAGGAGAGTGAGACTATGTTATCAGTACATCCACAGGGACAATTTATGTAGCATTTACACTGATGTTTACACTGCCCTGTTGGGTTTTATCCAAATTAAATGTTTTCTTATTTGTGTGAATCTTAGGGGTCTGTAGTGTTAGTGTTGTTGTATTCCGGTTCTTTGTACCATGCTAACTCTGAGAGACGAGGTAGTCCAAGTAGCTTCAAAACAGTGCTGATTTATTCCATGAACACAGGTAAAAATTAACATTACACACTCAGGTATCTTGCACCTCCAACATGCACGCAGGCAGCTGAAGGATGAAAGACCCCGAACCCAACAGGCCTGTACATTATATCGCTTTGGGCCAACCCCATTCTACACAGGAACGTCAAAGCGTGACGTCTCCTGGTGCCAGCTTTGCAGCTGACCAGAGCGGTAGTCAAAACATGAAGAAAATCAATGTGTGATTGTCCGTTGATTGTGTGGTGTGTATCTAAGACATTCTGACAGGACATCCAGTGACATGTCATGACATTAAGCATAACAAGATATTATGATTACGATTATGATTAAACACGTCATACAGTAATCAACTTTCTATCTAGTTATCCTTGAACATAAACAACCTGGAGTCCCCCATGGGAATGACTAAGCATTTTAACAGCCTGAGCTAGACATGCTGTCTACACTAAACATTTCTAATACAACAAGCACCTAACCAATGTCTATCTGACTAAAAATACCTAACAGTGTCAACACATGGCACAGAACAGACTTTGCACCAGTGAACTGGCATTCTCCTATGGTGAACTGAGGGTTTTCAATTTGGTATTAATCTTGTGTACCAGTAAGATAGATAGTGTGTGTCAGTGTCAATCCAGTGGCCAAGAGTGACTGTTTCTTGTGGTCCACTGCTTGCAAGCTCAGAGCATGTTGATGGCTCAGGTTTATTGCTTATCTTTCCACTTTTGTTTTGCAGTTGTCAACCAGCTGATGTGATCACACACACAAAAAAGTGGTATTCCAGGTTGACAGAATAACACTTTTTAGGTGATTCCTAGGCTAACCAGTGCATCCCTTTTACTTTGTTCTTTTTACAACTATCTGAATGTAGCAGGTGTCTCTATTATTCATAGTCTTTAACAAGAGCATTGTTAAGCTACATACAGTATGCACAGCAGATCCACTGATTAAACAAGCACCAGGCTACTACAAAACAACCACCTCCATGTTTGAATACATATTACCCTTGTTTTGATCAATTGTACTACAGTTCCAAGATAGATGTGTAAGATTTGATTCTTATGTGCTCTAGTTACTTTATAAGCTTTAGTTACTAGTTACTTCTGAAAGATATTTCCCAGTTCTTTTAACCAGGAACTCAGAGAGATGAGGCGGACCACTTGGATATAAAAAATAACCGTGCTGGTTTATTCAAAGGATCACAGGTAAAATTAACATTACACGTCCAGGCATCTTCCACCTCCAATCCTGCACGCAGGCAGATGAAGAATGAAAGACCCCGAACCCAACAGGCCTGTACATTATATGGTTTGGGCTAACCCCATTCTACACAGGCACGTCAAACCGTGGCGTCACCTGATATGCCAGCTATGCAGCTGACCAGAGCAGTAGTCAAAACATGGAGAAAATCAGTGTGTGTGAGTGTTGATTATGTGGTGTGTATCTAAGAACATACAGGACATTCAGGGACATGTCCGGACATTAAGCCTAGGAAGATATTATGATTAAGATTACGGCTAAACATATCATAATACTAACAATAATCATCCTGTCTGCTGACAGTCAAACTTTTCTATCTAGTTATCCTTGACCATATGCACCCTGCAAAAAACTCATGAGAATGACTAAGCATTTAACAGCCTGAGCTAGACATCCTGTCTCCACTAATCATTTCTAATACAACAAGTATCTAAGCAATATCTATCTGACTAAAAAATTACCTAACAATTCTCATACCTTTAGTTCCCTTTAGTTACTTGTCATAACTTTAATTTCCTTGTCTATCCATAGATATCTATTGATGATTGTCCAGAACTACTGAGCTTTGGTCATTCTTAATGCATTTATTTTCCTTGCTTAAATATCTTACAATTGTATTGCTGAGAATCAAGTGATACTGAAGTAGAAACTGCCTGCATTAACTTCTGTGTAGAGACAGTATGTCTGCATCTCCAAGAAACCAATTGTATTGATGAGAATCAAGTGATAGAA